GGCTCAGCGGGGACCCCCAGTCCCGCCACGCCGGGAGCACGGAGCCGGGGTGACCCGTGGGGACCCTCCCGCAGGGGGATGCGGGGACTGACCGAGGTCCCTGCGGGCACGGGGGGTCCCGGAGAGGCGGAGGCAGCAACCCGGCGTGTGGCAAGGTGAGGGCTTTGAAGGTGAACCTTGGCAGGTTCTGGCGAGGATGAGCTGCTGCAGCTCCTTTCTCCTTCCAAAAGCCAGCACTACAAGTCCCTTCCTCCCTAGTCTATCCAGGGACCCTCGGATGAGTCCCCGGGCTTTGGCTCTCATGGAAATGGCACCTTCTTGGCGCAAGAGGAAAAATTTTGGCGCCCTTTGGGCAGGAGCCGAGGTCTGTCCCTGCTGCCCTGCAGCCACAGTGACGCGCTCGGACGGATCCCCATTCCCTGATGCCAGCGGACGTGTCCCTGGGCCGGGAGCTCCCCCGGGGGCTGCGGGACCCCCGCGAGGGGCCGGCGCCGGCGGGACTCCTGCCCGCTGGGTGCTGCCGCTTTGAATTAGGTCAGGCTTCATCTCGGGCCGGCTGAGCTCCCGCTCCAGCCCCGGGGATTGATGACTCAATGGAGGAGCCCGGGCAGGGGGAGGAAGGGGCTCTGCCGCTGCCCCGTGGGGCACAGGGAGCCGGGAATGTGCCGTGCCACTGCACGGAGAGAGGGTGATGCGATGTGCTGAAAGCACCTCCCGTAAGATCCACCGAGATCAGAGGAATAGGATGTCAGGAAAAGCTCCAAATAGACTCCAGGGCCCTGCACACCTTCAAGGCGTGGATTTCCAGCCGGTGGAAGGAGCCACAGCAGCCGCCAGGCCCTGGGTCTGAGCAGCATCGTCCATCCAATATCTGCTGCTCACCCAAATTCCCATGGAGAAGCTCTGCCAGTGCGAATGTGATGGGTGTGAGAACTGGCTGGATCCTTCCCCAGGGCTGGGAGTTCCCATGAGGGATGTGAAGGTCTCGGGAACCATGAGGAGAGGATGGGAATGGCTGAGATATGGGAGTGAAGCAAAGTCCATGGAGAGGCAGAGCCGGGCTCAAGCTCTGGGACGCAGAGTGGTGGAGAGGCTTTGGGAGTGGGTCCTGGGGCTGGCTTCATCTCAGAATCCCACTGGAGCCATTCCAGCGGTGCCAAAGCCCACCTGGCTCCTCACTCCCCCAGCAGCATGAAATCCACTCCAGTATCCGCCTGTAAAACCCCTGACGTGGAAGTGGGAGGCAAGGACAGAGCTGGGATCCTGCACTGCCTGAGCCATTGCCTGAAGTGACATCCCGAGGCTGCAGAGAGAGCCCAGCGCTCCTTGATCTCGGGATAACACGGAGCACTCCTGGGGCAGTGTCACAGCTGGGTTCTGTGCCGTGCTTTGTGGAGATAATTGGAGAGGGATTTCCAGCTCCTTTGTCTGGGCGAGGAAAGCCCAGCAGAGCAGTGCTACCGTCACCTAATTAACCTGAGGGCTGAGGGAAGTTAATGTTTCAATTAACTCTCCCTGATTTGACAAACAGCAAATGCCAGCCAGGCAGTGCCCGCTTGGGAGCGAGTTACAGGGAGCATCCTCCCGTGCCATGCTGGGCCAGGGGGAGACACTCCGAGACACCAGCCCAAGCTGGGCCACAGCTTTTCTCTGTTGAATCCAAGCCCTGAACATGAACCAGATCTGGGAGCAAGGAGCAGAAATTTGGAGCTGGAATCCAGTGGAGACGCTGATGGTTATGGCTTTGGTGTTTCCAACTGCAGCAAGGGGGGACCCAGTCACTGGGGGTCTTGTGTCCCTGCCCTGCAGAGAAACCCTGGACTGGATGTCCCAAGAACTGCTCCTCAATGGAACATCCAACACAGCACTGATTCCTTCCAGGTACCACCAGGGCGGGGGGGACACCCCCTGAGAGCTGTTTGCTGGAGCCTCCAAAGCCACCATCATCCCCATCACTCCACCACCCAGCTGAGCCCACCCAGCTGCCCCCAGCACTCGATGAAAGCACTTGCCAGGACTCTCCTATCCAATTTATCCTGTAAAGAGCAAAAAGATTCCCTCTATCCTGTGCAGGCACAGGCTGGGGATGAGCTCCGGGCTGGGAGGTGGGTTTGTGCTGGGGCACCTCTGCACTCAGCATTTGCCCTCTGAAGCCTGAGCCAGCAGCAAAGCCTCCCCCAGGGCTGCACAGCGTGGACCCTCCATCCCAGGGTGCTGGTGGTCCAGCCATGGCACCCAGTGAGGTCCATCCCCAGCACCCCCTCCCCAGAGGTGGCTGTTGCAGCAGCGTAGCCCCTGCAGTACTCACCATCCCTGCCAGAGGAGAATTCCCATACAAACCCAGGCTATTATTATCTCTGTCTTCCACCGTGCTAATGGTCTCTCAGGAAACAGACTTCTTCTTTTTTTTTTTTCCCTCTTTTTTTTTTTTTAGCTTTTAAAACCCACGAGTAGGGGAGCAGTGGGAGCAGAGAGACGGGAACGGCAGAGGGGAGCTCTGAGCCCAGAGCAGGAGAGCTGGTGTCCCCCTGACCCAGCAGGGACAGGGAGCAGTGGCCAGGCAGGACCCGCCAAGGACCAGCCCCGGGGCGTTCTGGTAGGAACAGCCAAGGGTGATGGGCAGAGCTGGGGATACTGGGGGTGGCTGTGGCACAGGGCCACTGGGAAACCTGCATGATGAGGGGCAAGGGGTGTCCTGGCTTCTGTGCTTGGGTGGGGGGTCCTGCAGGATCAGAGAAGGGATCCCTTGAAATCATAGAATCATGGAATGGTTTGGGTTGGAAGTGACCTTAAAGGCCATCCAGTTCAAACCCTGCCATGGGCAGAGACACTTTCCACTAGACTAACTCCCCTCTCAGGCCCAGCTCCATCACTCATTTTCCTCTGCTCTCTCCTTGTTTGGCTGCTTTGGTGCTTTGCCGGATGCCCTGGACTGCTCTGTCTGCCGGGGGTGCTGGTGGTGCCAGTGCTGCCACAGCCCTGCCCACGGGCTGGATGGCACCAGCCCCCCAGCTGGGGTCTCTGCCAGGTGCTGGGACCACGGGGGCAATCACCCATGGATGATCTGGGGTTAACAAGTGGCTCCTGTAAATCAGAAGCAAAGCGAGAGCCGAGGAACGTGAGATTATATAAAGGGGGCTGGAGGCAGCTGCGGCACAGCCTGTAATTAATTCCTGGCACTGAGGAGCTTTGAAGATCCAGGGCGGCGGGTGTGAGGCAGCCCCAGGGTTCCTGGGATGGCATCCCTGCTCCTGCAGCAGGGATGCCATGAGGGGAAGAAGCTGAGCACCCCTCGAACCTACTGGGAGCTGGCTCTGCAGAGCCCAACCTGCAGGTCCATCCTCCTTCCCAGAATCACGGAGGGGGCACAGCTTGGGAGTGGGTCAGCCCTTGGCTTTGGCAGGAGCACAGCAGTGAGGGATCATGGTGGCTGCTGGGGACAGGACAGGACTTTGCCATGGCCAAGGACACCCTCAAGGCTACAGAAACTTTGTCAGGGAAACTTTTGTGCCCCTCCAGTAAAACCAGAGATTCCCGACCTGCAGAGCATCCCCACACTGCACTGGGACCAGAGCTCAGACCATTTTGGGTTTGTGCAGTGCATGAAGAGGGAGCCAAACCACTGTTGGTTATGCCAGAAACCTTCAGAGGAGTCAGGGAGTCCTGCCTGCTGGCCTGGCATCCCTCCTCTCAGCCCCAACGCTTGCACTGGGACCAACAGAGTGTCCTGGTGCAGGAAAATCCCCCTCGCTGGGCTGCAGACCTGGCTGGTGGTTTTGGGTTCTCAGAATCCCCGTTGCTAATTGCCTGCCTGAGGTTTATCCTCCTTAGACGAGCGGTTCCCCACACCCCATCACTGAGCTCATCTTACCACGGTGCCTCCTCCATCCCATCCCTGCTGGGAAGCCCAGGGAGAGCCACAAGCTGTGTGCCCCAAGTGCATCCTGAGAGGCTGGAAGGCTCCCAGCCCATAGCAAAGGGGTCCCCGGGATCAGCCGCTCCCGCTCGGGGCTCCTGGCAGTGCTGGCGGGGAAGGCAGGGCTGGGGCAGGCCCGTGCTGTGCCCTGAGCTCTCCCGAGCTGAGCCGACCCCTCTGTTCCCCCGCAGCGCCGTCGGCGATGCGAGCGATGGCAGACCAGGCT